AAAGGTTTGTTCTCTCAAATATATTACCATGCTTTGGCCATCTCCACCACATGTTATAGTCAGACAGGACATCAGTACACTAAAACGTGAAAGCCACCATCTTTGATTGAGGGAATCAATGGTCAATGCCTTGCCTGCAGGAGCAGTGCCCAGTGTTTTCATGTCTGCTCTACAAAAAATTCCAGCTGCTGTCTCCTTCTGGTCCTGGTGATACTTGCTGGTGTGTTTCATATCCCTCCTTCTACAGCTTGCCACAGGCAGTGCCCACCATCTCCAGCTATAGCAAGGGCAGCTGGACCAAGGCTGGTCATGCACACACTGGAAGCATCAGTCAGAGACGGATGTGTCTTGTGGTGAATGAGGATGCCTGTGCTCGCAGCTGGTGGCACACAGCTAGCAAAGCAGCGTGTGAGGTCCGGGGAAGACAACTCCTGCTTTCTGGGGCTTCCCAGCCAGGTGAGACCAATAGGACTCCTCACTACTTCCCTCTCATGCTTAGTGAATGGGAGAGGAATTTGTCAATCTTTTTTTCCCATTTCTAATTAAAAAGGTTTCGCTAAAAAAAGCTCACTTAAAGGATGGCAGCTCACTGAATGCAGCAATCCTGAATGCAGATGTAAGCCAAGGTCCACGAGAAACACTTCACATCTCTAGAACAGCAGTACGTGACTTTGATGTTGCACCCACAAGCAGCAGATTTAAATGGTGCTGGTTATCAGCAAAGCAAGTGGATGAACTTGCTCACAACATAAGCAGACTGTATGGAGAGATCACGGCTGTGCCCCAGCTGACCAGAACTGCTGGAACATCGGAAGTCCTGTACTAACATGCAGAAGAATTTCTATATGATACGGGTGATGAAGCACTGGAACATCTGCTCTGGATCACTTCTCTGGAGATATTCAGGACCTGTCTAGACACCTACCTATGCGACCTATTGTAGGGCATCTGCTTTAGCAAGGGGCTTGGACTTGATGATCTCTTGAGGTCGCTTCCAACCCCTGTGATTCTGTGAAGCTGAATCTGTGCTTCCAGGTGTCAACCCAGTTCACTGAGGAGAACCCAGTCTCACGAGCAACAGCACACAGATGACCAAGGGTCACTTTCTTATGCTAGGAAATGAAGAGTCACTCACCCTGCTACCACAAAGGTCTGCTTTTGCTGGCCTTTGGCCAGAAACCTAAGACCCAAGAAGTGCATTAAGCCTGGCAGGCACATGCTTGCCTTAAAGCACAGAGGGTGCTGTCAGTGTGCTGACCAGCCATGGGGTTCCTGCATCTCCCAGGGCAGCTTCTGCAGCTCTCACATCCTGCTACAGTCCTCCACAGAGTATGAACTGCATCCAAAAATCTCCACTTTCAAAGCACAGTGTCCTGTTTTCCCAACAGCTGTAATTATACCCACAGGCACCATCTCTGGACACTTCCTTGAAACACAGTACAGAATAAATTTGATACAAGAAGACACAGTAATACGTTGTGTTTAGTTTCAGTGTGAGAGCAAATAATACAAAGAACAGTGAGTTCCAAGTGTGATTTTTTTTTTATCAAAATGAAAGTTTTCTCTTCAAGAAATAAACAAAAACCTTCCATAGACCTTCATCTTCTTACAGGTGGCACCTGGCTGGGAAGCTCTCCAGAGACCAGACATATCTTACAGGTGGCACTCTCACAGCTGAAATTTATGTATGACTGCTACTAAACGTTCTGTTAAAAATGTATTTTTAATTTCTTCTGGGAGAACATTATATATATTGAGAGCAAAATAGTTTTATTATTGCAATTGATTTGTGAACAATAGCATCCTCAAGGCAACATCCTAAGCTTAAAACTCAAGATCCATGCAGAGGAATAAAACAGATTTTATCTGAACAAAGTGCATTAGTTTCAAGGCCTTCAAATTAATGAGAATACATCCGCACCTATCTCACCCAGCACAAGTTCCTGAAGAGTTTAGTACACATCCACATTAAAGACTTCTTCATGTCATGCACTTTATGAAATAAGAAGAGAGATGTGAAGGCAGATGAAAACAGGAAAAAACAGTGGGAACAAAAGCTAACTATAAAGAAGGTAAAAAAAAAGCTATGATTTGAAATAAACAACACAACATGTACAATAATGAGTTACAAACTTCTGTGTAGGAAAGGTAAAGCAGTAAGAGCAAAATGCTGTATTTCTTTGTCTTGGGAATCCTGAAGGCCAGAATGCAGCAAGCCCCTTAGATGTACAGATCAGTTCTGAGAGGAGGTATTAGAACCTGGTATGGCCGGTGTCCTACGTGTCTACCTGTATTACATACTGCATGGAGTTTCATGAGAAAACCAAAGAGCAAAACTATATAGAGTACAATTCTCATCTAGTAGAAGGAGCTCAACATTTTAAATGGCACTGGTAACTTACTCAACAGTAGATTTACCATTTGTTTGTTTTGATATGAAAGTTAATGCTTGGAATCACAGTACCATGATCATCATAAAAGAAACTGAGGTAGCTATCCCATACCCAATAAAATTACAGACAAAATGAACACAGAACATATATTTTGGGAGATGTGTTCAAAATTATTCAGCAAAGTACTGGACAGAAAGGAACAGAGAATTAATCCTGCTCACATCAAAGACTTTAAGGGAACAGAACTACCACAATGAATTTTAGCATCCCCTTCTCCTCATTTGCCGTTTTGAGGTACACAGATAGCTGGTTTCTCCTGATCCTTGGAGAAGTAGATTAAATCTTCCACTATGGTTGAGTTCACTTTGCCAAACAGGTCAAGTATACAACAAATGGAAACCATGAGTGCTTGCTAGTCTTCCTTGGCTAAAAAAAATACTACTTATGTTGCAGATAAAGAGCATTATCTTTAACAACTCAGAAGAAATGTGGTATGACAAGTAGACATATTACATTTACTAAAATTTCAGAATTATTCTATATTATTGTCTGTAACACTCACTGAACTTTCTTTTCACAAGTAGCAAAATACTTATCGAGTAAAATTTGTTACCTAAGCTTTTGCCAATCAGACTGCAGTGATATAACCTGAAACTGGTATGTAAGTCAACATTTCATTCCTTCATGTGAAGTAAGCCGGATATAAGCACTGGCAGAAGAAACATAAGATGGCCACGTAAGGTGGGTCTTCACAAATCTCTCCACCCCATCACCTCCAACCTCCCTGCAGAGCTAGCATTCCTCTACACAAGTCCTGTGGAAAAGACAGAAGCAGCAAAGAAGTGGATTTCCTATTCACATGCAACTTGCTGAAGTCTGTGCTTAGAAGACCTCATTGTTGGGAAAAACAAAAGAAAGGAAAAAAAAACCAAATGACTTTGTTATTTTGCTGTTTTACAATCATAACCAAGTACTAAAAGACAACTTTCAGAAGTTTTATCTTCACACTTTCATTCTTCTAGCCTCATTGCTGGGTCACACATATGAATTGGTTCACTTTTCCACTTGTAACAGCAACTCAGGATGCCAACTCACTTACAGGTCTTGAGGTTAGTTGCTTGAAAAAGCAGTCATCTCTCTCTTTTTCTCTATTTCTTTAACATGAGGTAGGTTTTTTTGTTTCCCTCTTCTTTAAAAAGACATGGAAGAGTAGAAGAGAAGAGAGTGGAGAACAACACGCTTTTTTATTGGCAGAAGGTTTTGAGCAACAACTCAGGCAGTGAGGACTACAAAAATAGCTGTACTTTGCTCCTAGACATCTTGCATCACATGAAGAAGTAAAAAACACAGCCATACAAACTTGACAGAGCAGCCTACATTTTATGAACTGAAATCACAGAAACCATATATGTGCAAGCAGAACAGTTGAACAACCAAATGAAGCCTATCTATTCACAATAGTTTCTTTTTTTCTTTAAAAAAGGAATCAACAACAAAATTCCAAAACTGCAATGACAGCAAATCTGCCCTACTGAATTCAAATTCAAAGGCTGCCAAGCTCTACAATTTATACTGTTAAGAAATAATCCCACTGCCTTAATGTATCTAGAATACGTATGAACAAATCTCAGCATAAGTATTAGATAATAGAATGATGCAAAGTCCTAGGTATGTGCAAGGAATCAGTTGAAAAATATTCTCAGGTGAACTACAAATGCTGGACTAGGTTGGCGTGCAGAAGATGAGCAGTGCTGCCTGCCAATTATTCACCTGTGGGCCTAGTTACAAGTAAGGTTTCATTTTAGGTAACTTGGACAAATGTTTGGAGGACCTTACACAGCATTTTCTGCCAGAAAAAAAAGCCATAGAACCCTTGGTACCATGTGAATAAACACAAAATTAAGACACGTCATGGACAGCTGCTTGCAAAGACCATAAAATCTTCTTAAATGGTCTTAGTTACTTCTGCACCATACATAAACGTATAGAGTATGGGGTAGCAGCCTTCCGTGCTCTTAAGACACTTCCCTTAAGAATGATGGTAGTTCCATGTGTTCAGCAGCAGAAATATAAACACACTGTGCAGTGAGTAATGGTATTATCCATCTGAATAAGATATTTCAAATTCCTCTGCAAAGATAAGTAGCCTTACACATGGTAGCTTTCTGGAGACAGATACTCTGCTACTGCTTATCCGCTACAGCACTGCTACCTACCTTTGGGCACCTTTAGATAAATCACAACTAGGAGGTAAAAGAAAGGACATCTCCCAAAGAACGGCCCTGCTTCATCCACACAGCTAAAAGCAGTGTTACTGGAACAAAGGTTAAAAAAACCAAAACAAAAAAACCTTTGCAATACTATACTGTAAGTAAATTAATAATCTGAGGAAAGAAACAAAGCAGCCATTTTTATAGACTACACTCACTTTATGTAGTGAATCATCATTTTCAAGGCACCAGATGCGCAGTAAAGGAAAAAGATTAAAGGAAACAAAAACAGTTGGTTACTTGTTGCCCAGTGAATATTACAAAAACTGTCCAGTTTGCAAGCAGAGGTATAGGTTAAGTAGAACAGTTACTCCAAGACGTAGCATCCATCACCTACCTTGCAGAAGAGCTCCATTTCTCTTGAAAAAGGTGCTTCCTGGCCAAATGGGTGGACCTGATGTGCTAAAGGTAATAAGAAATAAGTGTAAAAAAAATCTCATTCACATTAAATAATTATAAGTTACTATTTATACGAATTTCATTTTGTTTTCACTAAAGAAGCTAATGCAACTTCATGGCATTTTTGCCTTCAAGCAAGAGTCTAAAATTTCTCTTTAAAAATAGGTTAATTTTATTCAAGATGCATTCTCTTCATAAGAACAATTCAGCACAGCACACACCCACACTCTCATTTAGAGGAAGAAAGAAAAAGGTTATTTGGAATAAATAATAATAAAAAACAAACCAAGTTGAAAATTTTTTCAATTTCTTTCTGAATTCTCAGCATAGCAAATTATATGCCTTTTTTCCATGCCACCAACTAAAACTAAACCCACTGTGCTCCACATTCCCCAGCCAGCCATGACGCTGCCCAGTACCACCAGCAGCTCCAGCCATGTGCCTGCATGGCACGCCTGGCCCCATGGAAATAAAGCAAGAACACCTTGTTCCTTCCCTAACCCCGCAGATCTGTCTGACAGCCCATCCTCCTGCCAAGCTCAGCACCCCAGGAAAGTGCCTGGCAATGCCTATGAGAAATAGCTAAAATCACAGGAAAGGTGTTAGAACATTGCTGAGGCAGGTGGAAGGGACAGGCTTCCACGGACCTCCCCTATGGTTGGGAAACAGGCTTCCAAATAAGCCCTCTAAGCTTGAAGACAATCATATGCATTTTACTGCACAAAGTTTTTACTGAAGTTACTATCACTAAAGTACATGATCAGGACAGCAGTAATTGCCCTGCTCCCAAATTCTAGCAGAAATTAAAAGCAAGAGACTAAATATCCTTCATTAAATATCAGGCAACTTTGCCTCTGCAGGTAATCCCCCTTGCCCTCTGCAAAGCCCCACACGCCATTTCTGCTGTTACCTTTGTCCTTTGTCTACAACTACGAGGCAACAAAATGGAAAGCAGATGCTGTCTGTTGCATTCACGGAATGAGCAAAGTTTTGATAAAATGCCATACATTGAAAGGAAACCCACTATTTTTACAGTCATTCTGCAGAGACTCTTGTGCTAACATACAAAAGCTTCAGTGCGTGGCTTATTTCAATAAAGCGTTAAAATACAGACCATGAAAGGATCCACGGCAATTACAGGAGTAATAAAAACCTTCAATACTCCTGAACAAAAAGGGAGTTCAAAGACACAGAGAGAGAGACTGAAACGACCAAAAAGAAGTTAAGTAGGCCTACATTCAGAAGCGCTAGAGTGCACTGGGGCGTGCACTTGTCTGAATGCACACGCTCACTTCACAGGGCTTAATATAACCGACTGTTTGCATTTCCTATAGCGAGCGCCAGCTCCTCAAGTGCAGCTCCTCAGCTCACACAAAGGTCAAGGGCTGCTGAGGGCGTTTGTGCTCCTGCAAACAGACTCGATGCTTTCTATCACAGCGAGTCCAGGGCAATGTGTGGGGCAGGAGCCAACGGGCTGTGAGTGGTGGAGCAGCCCTCTGACTGCAGCCTACACAGTCCCCCTCCTGCACACCATTACTTCACTTGCTTCTGCCTCAGCAACGAGGACTTGCAGCGCTGCACCTCCACGTGTCTTCAAATCCAAACAGTGCTGGTGGGGATGAGAACTGGAGCAGTGGCAAAAACCCAGGCTGCTGCCTGCTTCTGGGTGGGAGAGGGTTAAAGAGGAGAGGGATAACCATGTATTTGAATAGACAAAATGTCTCCACCTAAGAAACAAAACAATAGTGATTTATCTTATTTTCCAACTTGAAGGCCCAAGGCTCTTTTAAAAAAAACTCCAATCTGATTCAGCACAAATTCACAAACTGAGGAAATTAACTGTGCCTTCCCAGGGAAGGAAGCTGAAGAATTCAAGAATGTAAATAACGTAGACAGTGACTGGTTGAGCCTTTCAAACAACCAACTTCTGTGTTTGTGGGGCTTTGCTGGAGTTCAGCTATACCAGATCAGCGCTGGAGAAATCATCTTTCCATTCCCAGACTTTTGCCTATGAAGTCTCAGATGGCATTAATTATTAAAACATATTTCAAGTTGAGAAATGAAAGTTAAGCTATCTCTCACTTCAATGTGTTCAGAAGCTGCTTCTCCCTGTTCCAGATTAAGAAATCATTTTAAAAACTTCATTCTTCTAAAGATCATCTATGATTAAAAAAAACACTGGGTCCATCCCAGGCATTTTTCCAAATGAACTGTTCCTTCAGTTCAGTCTGTAAGAGACTGGAGAACCATGACTGCTTCTGCTATAACATAAAAATATGAAACCTGCTTTATGAACTTCAATATGTGTATGAACAATCAATATGTGCTGTAAGATTAATGCTTATGCAGTTGGCATTACTAACAGCGGAGTTTTTCTCCAACCTGATGAAATAAACACACTGACTGAAGTCAAATTTCATTTCCAATCCATCCCCACAACACTAGTGAAGAAAGGCAGCTACTGGTTTGAACTGCACTGCTGCAGGAAAACCTGCAACCCGTGAGGGTCTGGACTGACTTAACCTCCCAGCAGTAGACAAGCACAGTGTGCTTCTCTGGGGCTTGGATCAATAGCAAAGAGCTGAAATTGCAAACGAACATCTTGAAAGTACACTAATTAGCATAGCTAATGGATAAGAGGGTATAGGAAAACCTCAACAGTTACCTGTCAAGGACCATTGGTTTGATTTGTAGAAAACATGGTCACTTGAAGCATACGCTCAGTCAAAGGAATACCCCAGAGTGCAGCAGCATTTGTTGCAGAGGCACCAATTTGCTGCAAATGCCTACAGTGACAAGCAGGCCTGGATTTCTGCTGGAGGCAGTTATCCCTCTGGAGACTCAACCAGCAGGAACCCTCAGTGCTGCAGGGCCAGCATAGGAAGCAGCCTCAGCCAGAAGGGTAGCAGGGATGCTGTGAAGGAAAGCTTTTCCATCAGAAAATGCTGCTTTGCTGAAACCTGAAAAAATCCAGTGTTTGGGCACAGCTTTGCTGGGAGCTGTCTGGCCACTCCTGGGCACACAGAAGTCACCCCATGCACGAGCCCCTTAATTGCACTACCACAGGCACACGTTTATGAGATCACTGAAAGGCGTGCAAGATTCAAGGGACTTAAAAAAGGAAATGTATAACCTTTCTCTTCTGGAATTCATATTAGAGCAAGGGGACAGTAGTTCCTAAAGCCAACCACTAAAACAAAAAATAAAGCCAGAGTATGAATTCTCTTTAACAGTTGCAGCATTTCACAAATGTGCCAAAATCTCTCACAGGCCTCTATGTCAGAAAGGCCTGATTAATAGATTTTAAAACCCAAACAACTGAAAACTCAAAACAAATTCAATTCTGTGGGACTGTACACAATTAAGGGCTGATGAAAACACAGAGACAGCAAATGGAGAGCAGTGCATTTGCTCCTGGCCTGTCCAGAGCGCAATGGGAGGCAGACGGGTAACCAAATAGCGTGCCCAGCAAAGGCCCGAAATGCAAAGATGAGTGACTGAAGCAACTCTACACCCAGGCCAAGGCAGCAGTTTTGTGAAAAGCTGAGGTGGGAAGAAATGCAATTCTCCCTCTCCTGAGCAGCACAGCGACACCTGAGGAGAGATGGGAATACATCAGCTCATGGCTACTCCTTGCCTAGGGCTGGTAGCACTTTCAGCTCAGTAGCGGACCTGAATCTCCCAGGAGTGAAGGCATCGCTGCAGGGCCTTCATTGCCAACCCATTCCAGAGTTAAATTCCTCACTGCAGATTCACCTGCACTTCTGACAACCAGTGAGCTGAAGATGCCCAAGGAGGGCATCAAACCTAGAAAGAACAAGTTGCCTTGTCAAAGCAACCAGCAGAGCCTCTTGTGGGCTGGGACACCCACTTACCAAAGCTTCTGAAAAGCAAAAAAAAATACAACCATTCTTACATTCAAAATAGTAATAGGTGTTCTTGTCTGTCTGGAGTCCATAAAATCCTGCATCATCGGCAGCAGGGAACATTGCTCTTGGAATGTGTGTTCAGCTCTAGAAGCAAGCTGGACTCAGCCTACAGCCAGAAGGTGCTGATGGACTCCCAGCCAAGCCACAAGGCTCTGATACATACCACTTTTTGAGAAGTCAGCTTTAAATGAAGAGCTAACTGAGACAAACATGACAGAAAAATGTTTTACTGAGAATACAGTATCCTTCAGTGCTTCAAGGTGCGCAGCACTTCTTCAGGCCAGACAACCTGGGTTCTCCAGTTGTCAATGGGAAAGCAGAGAGGTGCAGCCCTCGTGCTGCTAGATTGCCTCCAGTGCTCCTCAGTTCCTCAATCCCTGCACTATTGCCAAATCACACTCAGCATTCTGCCCAGCCTGGATGTCTGTGCTGGGCTGCATCTTCCAGGAGCTGGTCCCTACCAGTGCTGCAGGGAGGCCTCGGTGCCGTGCATCTGGCTGCGCTGCAGTTACACTGAAGCATCTGCCACTCGCATTATCAATTTTGAGCGATAGGGAAGCATTTATATACTGCTGCATCTCTAACACTGCGTTTTGTTAACAAGGAAAAAGCCTGCACAACCCTGCCAGCAGCTCGCTGGCAGTTAATATCACAATTAGCTATTGCCTGGCAACAGTCAAGCAAGCTTCCTCTCAAATCAAAGGGGAAAAAAAACTGCCAAACGGGGCTAATGACAATACATAAAAAATAACTGGAAGGGACGCATTAAGGTATTTCCTGATTTTAATGAAACCTGACTACTTTAGAGATTTTAAAAATACAAACCCATTACTCTATCCTCTCAGATTTTCCGTAACTGACACTACATTATTCTTAAGAAGATTTATGAATTCACAATAGCAGTTTTTAATTTATGAAGACTGATCTAATATTCTGGTGATGCTCCTCTTCCCTCTGCACTTCAGGCTTTTGCTGTCTCTCGGTATCTCTCAGTCACTGCGACAGGCGGCACGGAGACTTTCAGCTCCTGGATGGAGCTTCTCCTGGTTCCCCCAGGGTGCCTGGCACATTTGT